GCCCGCCGCCGCGGCCATCGTAGCAGTCCGCTATCCCCACTGCCCAGCCCGACCCGGCCCTCGCGGTGCTCGGCGTTCGCACCCTAGCGCCCGCGAGACGCCGCCACCACCGCCTCCCGGCCCCGCCCAGCCAACCCCCTTCCGGCGCGGATACCCGGCCCCGCCCCATCTCCGGACCGGCGCCCTAACCGACGCGAGCACGCGCATACACATGCGCAGGACTCGTATGCGCTCAAGCATGCGCAACCTAGCGTTGCGTGCGACTACGGCCCAGCCTATCCGCTGGCCTGTTCCTGCAACATAAAGTCTCCGTGTTCCGTTTCTCGGCCTCTCCATCATCTCGTTTTTCATGGGTCCCTGCGTCGCATAAATGTGTGGTCAGTAACTGCATGGCGGTTCCATGTCATCACATGCCACAGCCAGAGAAAAAAGGCCTGGTGTGAACAATGCCAAAAGGGAAGCCTATAGTTGAGTACCCAGGGACCCACACGCGGGTTGGGACCCTGCAGCAAACCCCCACTTGCTTTCATAATCTGTACACGAAGCAATTGTGTCTGCCTTTCGAAACGTCCATCAGAGTCCCCCCTGACTGGGAGCTACCTTCACTTCCCCAACTTCCACCCTTGTGTGGCTTCAGCCACACTAGCTCATACCTTCTTGGGTCCCATTCTAGATGCTAGCTCTTGTGACCTCTTGCCATCTTACTTTCACTTACATAAACAAAAGGCACTGCAATCAAGTCAGATCTGACTCATAGTGACCCTTCCTTGGGTTTCTGAGGCTGTATCACTACAGAAGTAGATTGCCCAACCTTCCTTGCAAGGAGTGGCTGGTGGGTTTGAACCTTCAGCCTTCTGGTTAGCAGTCAAATGCCTTAGGCACTAGGCCACCAGAGCTCCTTTCACTTAGTCTTTTAAATTTATAACCTAGATGTATTTCAGAGACATCTCTAACCATATGATCTTCAACTGATGACACTGTTTACTAATAAGAGCTGAACTCTGTTAAGTTACAATGTGTTCTTTCCTAACAGTAATGTTCCATGTGTTCATATACACATATTGTTAGGTGGCACTGAGTGGATTCCCATTCATAGTCACTCTATAAGACAGGGTAGAACGGCCCTATAGTTTCACAGGCTGTAATCTTTACCAGAGCAGGTCACCAGATCTTTTCTCCAGCTGCAGGGCTGGTGGGTTGGCTGGTGGGTGTGAACTGTGGACTTTGGTTAGCAGCCTAGAGCTTAGCCATTGCACCACCAGGTCACCTTACAATATTTAATAATAGGTAACTCGATATTCTGGGAAGCACTCACAAACCCTGTTATTTTTATTTACTTTCTTATTGTATGGCAAAGAAGGAGCCTCCAGGAACTGGCAGAATACCCACTGAGATGTTTGAACAAATGGATGCCACACTGGAGGCACACACTTATCTATGCTAAGAAATCTGGAAGGCAACGACTTGGCTGACTAGAAAACATCCAAATTTTACCCATTCCAAAAAAAGGTGATCCCACAGAATGTGGAAATTATCAAACAATATTAATGTCACACGTAAAAAAATCTTACTGAAGATAAGTCAAAAACAGTTGCAACATTATACTGACAGAGAACTTCCAGAAATGTAAGCTGGATTCAGAAGGGGACGTGGAGCAAGGGATATCACTGCTGATGTCAGATGGATCTTAGCTCAAAGCAAAGAATACCAGAAAGATGTTTACTTGTATTTTATTTACTATGCAAAAGCATTTGACTATGTGGATCATAACAATTCATGGATGACATTGAAAAGAATGGGAATTCCAGAACACTTGATTGTACTCATCAGGAACCTGTACATAGAACAGGAGGCTGTTGTTCAAGCAGAACAAGGGGATACTGCATGGTTTAAAATCGGGAACGGAGTGTGTCAGGGTTGTGTATTTCCACCATCCTTAATTAATCTGCATGCTGAGCAAATATTCTGAGAAGCTGGACCATATGAAGAAGAATGTGGCATGAGGATTGGAGGGAGACTCATTAACAACCTGTGGTATGCAGACGACACAACTTTGCTTAAAGTGAGTATGACTTGAAGCATTTACTGATGAAAATTAAAGACTTCAGTCTGCAGTATGGATTACATCTCAACATAGAGAATGAAAATCCTCACAACTAGACCAATAAGCAGCATCACACTAATGGAGAGAAGATTGAAATCGTTCAAGATTTCATATTACTTGCGACCACAATCAACACCAATGGAAGCAGCAGTTAAGACAATCAGACGACATATTGCCCTGGCAAATCTGTTGCAAAAGAGCTCTTTAAAAGGCTGAATAGGAAAGATGTTTCTTTGAAAACTACAGTGCACCTAACTAAAGACGAAGTATTTTCAATCACCTCATATGCATGTGAGAGCTGGACAATAAACAAGGAAGACCGATGAAGAGTCGATGCTTTTGAGTTGTGGTGTCAGTGGATACGGAAAATACCATGGACTGGCAAAAGAATGAACAGATCTCTCCCAGAAGAAGTGTAGCCAGAATGCTCCTTGGAAGTGAGAACGCCCAGACTTTGTCTCACCTACTTTGGTCATGTTGTCAGAAGGGACCATTCCCTGGAGAAGAATATCATCCTTGATAAAGTGGAGGGTCAACGAAAAAGGGGTAGGCCCTCAACGAAATGGATTGACACAGTGCCTGCAATGATGGGCTCAGGTATAGCAAGTATTGTGAAGGTGGCACAGGACTGGCAGTGTTTCATTCTGTTGTACATAGGGTCACTATGAGTCAGAGCCGAGTCAATGGCACCTAACAACAACAAACATGCATAAGTTACCTGACAACCTAGGTTTGTATCACGGTAAAGTGATGCTGTCTTCTTTACACTGTATCCTATTAGGTGGCACATGATTTCATTTCTCCCATTACTTGGTGATATGATTAAAAGAGTATTGTCAGTCTTCACGGTGAAGTTACTCTTTAACCTTTTCTGATTGATTCTAGGGAGATGTTTCAAAGATATGCAATTATTGAGAGTTCCATCAAGATGGCAGAATAGGCAGAAAGACTGCACAGGCCCTCTTCAACAAAGAAAAGGGGAAGCAATCAATTAACACAGATACAGAAGATAATCCTGGACCCCTGAGCCTTGAAGGGAAGGATATAGAAGTAGACTAAACTCCAACTAGCAGAAGAATTTGCATGAAAACACCAAAAAAGGAGATATGTGGAGCTTTGGTCTGGCAGCGATCTTGATGGCACAGGCAGCTTGGATATTGCCGAGTGGTGGTAGGACCTAAGAATAAACCTAAAAAACGGTCCTGCTAGCCAGGAACTGCACGGAGGACTTCTCTGGTGGTTGTGAAATAAAAGGAGAAGCAGAGAAGAAGGAGGCAGGCTGAGCTGTGGACTTTGCTCTCTCCAGAGGGAGTAGCTATTTTGAATGTTTACAAGAGGCTGACCATTTTGGATATTTAAAGTGACAGTGTTCTCCCAGATTCTAGCGACTTAAAAACAGGCTCTAGAGTTCTGGCAAGATGGCAGACTAGGCAGAAGGACTGCACAGATCCTCTTCAACAAAGAAAAGGGATACCAACTGACACACAGAAGATAATCTTGGACCACTGAACCTTGAAGGGAAGGATACAGAAGTAGACTAAACCCCAACTAGCAAAAGAATTTCCGTGAAAATACCAAAAAAGGAGACATACAGAGCTGCGGTCTGGCAAGGACCTGAACGCCCCTGATGGCACAAATGGCTTGGACAATCCCAAATGGTGGTAGGACCTAAAAATTAACATAAAAATCACCCTGCTAGCCAGGGACTGCACGGACCGTGCACGGTGGATGGGGAACAAACAGAGAAGGTGAAGAGAAAGGTGGGCTGAGTTGTGGACTTTTGCCGATCCGGAGGGCGACGCCATTTTGTAGGTTTAAAAAGCGGCTTGACTATTTTGGATATTTAAAGAGACAGTGCCCTCGCAGATTCCTGTGGTGGTAGGACTTAAGAATTAACCGAAAAATCACCCTGATAGCCAGGGACTGCACTGAGGACTGTGCACAGTGGCTAGGGAACAAACGGAGAAGGTGAAGAGAAAGGTGGGCTGAGCTGTGGACTTTTGCCGGTCCGGAGGGCGCCGCCATTTTGAAGGTTTAAAAAGCAGCTTGACTATTTTGGATATTTAAAGAGACAGCCCTCTCGCAGATTTCTGGGGCTTAAGAACACATTCTGCTTTCCAACAACCCCAAGGACACTCAGGGCCTGCAAGACTGAAAAGACCAATGATAAAAAACCACCAAGAAGACCCTGAACTACCCTTGGCTGCTCTTCACAAACAGTTAACAGAGATCTAAATACGACGTCACGATGCCTTGGAAACAACAGAAGATCACAGTCAACACAAAGCAGCAGGATAAAGTGGTAGAAACAAAGGAGCAGGATATAGGCCCAGAACACATCCCTGAGGAAGAAGCAGCATTGGAACTCTCTGATAAGGAATTCAAAAGAATTATCTTTAGGTATCATCAAAGGATTGAGAGACAGACCAAAGAAAACACAGAAAAAAACCTTACAAGAATTTTGGAAGAAGGGTTCCAGCAAGATGGCGGAGTAGGCAGAAGGATTGCACAGACCCTCTTCAACAAAGAAAAGGTAAACCAATTAACACAGACACAGAACATAATCTTGGACCCCTGAGCCTTGAAGGGAAGCATACAGAATTGGACTAAACCCCAACTAGCAGAAGAATTTATGTGAAAATACCAAAAAAGGAGACATATGGAGCTGGGGTCTGACAGCGAACTGAGTGACCCTGACAGTACAGGTGGCTCGGAGATTCACGACTGGTGGTAGGACCTAAGAATTAACCTAAAAATCACCCTGCTAGCCAGGGACTGCACGGACCGTGC